CTAGATCCCTTTTTTTCACTTTTATAGTCACAACGATGAGTGTAATCGATTACCATATGGTGTAATTGATTACATCAGTTAAACGACTTGATGTAATCGATTACCAACGTGTTGTAATCGATTACAATATGAAAAATTACACATGTCTAATCAGATATCAGCATGTAATCGATTACCAGAACCATGTAATCGATTACATCATGAAAAATTACACATGTCTGATCAGATATCAGCATGTAATCGATTACCAGGATTGTGTAATCGATTACACTGTTTCAGAGTGCCCAAAATTGCCATTTCTCGCCCAGATAACTCTCTCTCAGGCGAGACTTCCAGGACTGATACTATAATTTTGAAATTTAGGGTGTTACAATACCGCCGAGCATTGATTCAGATAGGGATCCCCGTTTTACTTCAAACTTTTGGTCTAGTTTGCAGTCTGCTTTGGGGACTAGGTTGAAATTGAGTTCAGTTTATCATCCGCAAATGGATGGTCAATCGGAAAGGACTATACAGTCATTGGAGGATCTTTTGTAGGCTTGTGTTTTGGAACAATCGGGGAGTTGAGATAGAATGTTGCCTTTGATTGAGTTCACCTACAATAACAATTTCCATACTAGTATCGGGATGGCCCCTTACGAAGCTTTATATGGGAGAAATGTAGAACTCGAGTGAGTGGGTTTGAAACTTGGGAGAATTTAGTATTGGAACCTGAGTTGGTCCAAGAAACGACGGAAAAGATTAAGAAAATCCGGGAGAATATGAGAATAGCACAAAGTCGGCAGAAAAGCTATTATGATAAGAGGCGGAAACCTCTTGAGGTTAAGGAGGGGGATCATGTGTTTATGAGAGTAGTTCCGACTGCAGGGATAGGTAGAGTGTTGAAATCCCATAAGCTTACGCCGAGATTCATTGGACCATACCAGATATTGCAAAGGGTTGGACCGTTAGCATATCGGATTGCGTTACCCCCATTGTTGTCGAATCTTCACAATGTGTTTCATGTGTCTCAATTGAGGAAATATGTTGGGGATCAATCTCATGTGGTTGAGTCCGATCAGGTAGAGTTGAAGGATAACTTGACTTTTACGACGTTGCCAGTGAGAATCATGGATACAAGTATAAAAAGATTAAGAGGCAAAGAGATTGCTTTGGTGAAGGTATTGTGGAGCCAAGTGGATGAATGAGACGCTACTTGGGAAGTGGAATGTGATATGAGGGAGGATTACCCTCATTTAATCGAATCGGGGTATGTTTAATTTTCGATGACGAAAATTTTTATGAGAGGGGAGGATTGTGACACCCTAAATTTAAAATCATTAAATTATAGTATCAGTCCTAGGAATCTCGCTTGAGCGAGAAAGGTGTCGCTTGGGCGAGAGTGGCCAACTTGAGTGAGTGAAATATTGGGCTATACTGAAGGATTCTCGCTTGAGCGAGAGGATCCTCGCTTGGGCGAGAGTGGTCTCGCCTGAGCGAGAGTTGTCTCGCCTGAGCGAGATTTGTCTCGTCTGAGCGAGAGTTGTCTCGCCTGGGCGAGAAATGGAACTCTAGGGCTGTAGAGGCTGTAAGATCCTTGCTTGAGCGAGATGGTCAAATTTGAGTTTTTAAAATGGGTGGGATTTTCTCGCTTGAGCGAGAACCTGACGCTGTTACATTAAATAAGGAACCCCAAACACATTTTAGGGTTAGAAATTGAAGAGGAGTGAGAGAAAAGAGCATTTTCAAGAGCAAGGAGTCTTGAAGCTAATCTAGAAGCTTGAGAAGAGGTAAATCTCTTGATTCTAACTCTCCTTCTCCCTTTAAAACTCGTTTTGGGTGTATGGGATCTTTTCTCAAAATGTGAGAAACCATGGAAACTCTTCATTTTGAGTTGTGGTTCGTTTTATTCAGTTTCTCTCTTGTAAACTCTTGGTTTAGAGTTGGTATTCAAAGAATGGAGAGGGTTTGTGGGTTGGTTCATGAAAACCCCAAAAACCTAGAATGAGAATGTGGTTAAAGAGGGAAATGGGTGAAATGTTAGAGGTAATAGATGAGTATGTGCTCTAATGTTGAAATATGAGATGAATATGTATGTTTTAGATGTTTGGAAACTCTTAATGAAAGTAGTTTGGAAATATTGAAAATGTGTGAATCTCTTGTATGGTTTAAGAGGAATTATGAGTTGTTTATGTGTTATCTTGAATAAATGACTAACATTGTTGTTATATGGTGGGGATGAGGAAAGATCCTAAGGTTGGAGGCGGTGTCAGCAGAACTTGCAAGGTTACCAAGGACAAAACCCAACGCTCACCGAGGTAAGGATAAGTATTTTATTTCGAGATATGCATTATAAGAAATGCGGTTATATGTGGTTGACTCGAAGAGAATAAGATGTGGGATGTATCAACGAGTTGAATGTCTTGCCCCGAGTGGTATTGAGTTGTATGTCTTGCCCCAAGTGGTATTGAGTTGTATGTCTTGCCTTAGTGGTATTGAGTTGTATGTCTTGCCCCAAGTGGTATTGAATTGTATGTCTTGCCTTAGTGCTATTGAATTGAATGTCTTGCCCAAAGTGGTAGTGAATTGAATGACTTACCCAAGTGGTATTGAATTGAATGTCTTGCCCCAGTGGTATTAAATTGAATGTCTTGCCCAAAGTGGTATTGAATTGAATGTCTTGCCCTAATGGTAGTGAAACGAATGTCTTGCCCTATGTGGTATTGTGGAAGTACGGGTAACTGGAAAGTGGCTATGTAACACCGGAATAAAGAAGAGATTAACAAGGTTTGACATGGAAGAAAGTGTAAGTAAGAATGGTCGTGTGATGTAGTAAGATGTAGTAACTTGAATGTCTTGCCCTAACTCTGTTTAAATGTGGATTATAGAAAATGATATTTATTGAATAAAATGACTTACTCCTTTGTACGTTTTGTGTGTTGTCATTTGATAATCTCATTGCAGGTAATTGGATGAGTTAAGGACGCTTGATTTGGAGCTGTATGAGCTTTTAAATCTAGATTCCTTTATTTTGCATCTTTTTGTATCATGATTGAATATTTGCGGATGGAAGTAATTGTAACTATGATTCTTATAATTTTTGGATAATTGTAACTCTGGATAGTTGTAGCTATGGGTATTTTGGAAACTCATAGCTAGTTGTATGCGGTAGTTATTGGAATACATTAACAATGAATTATGATTTTCTGCTAAATGAACGAGTATGTGAATATTGCATTATGGAATGAGTATGAAAAGGGAATTGGGATTTAAAAATAAGATTGTTGCATTTGTGATTATAAGTTGTCGCGACCCGATTTTCGGTTGGAAGACCGACCCTGCGACTTAGGGAGATGTGAACTCGATTTCTACCTCTTCCAATTGTTTTGGAGTCGCCACTACGTTTTTTGCGGTTAAAACGTAGAAAACTCTAAATTATGCCCTGATTAGGATAATTTGGTCTTTTAACAGAGATTCTGAGCTCGGGAGTCGATTACGAATCGGGGAAGGTATTAGCACCCCGTCCGCCCGTATTAAAACGGCACCCTCGCTAATTACATGGACTTTCATACCCTTAAGTAAAATTGTTAAAAATTCAATTATAAAAGCAAAATGTTTTATTTTTTATTGTTGTGTCTGACAAGAGCTCATCTTGCTCCTACGTATCCCTACGTGCAATAGGGAAATCAAGGCTACGTAGTTCTGGTTCAAAAATTAATTAGTGTTGGTTTAGTTTGTTTGAAACGTCAATGTAAACTTTATTCTTTTTAAGAAAAGATGAAGCAGCAGAAACTAATGTCCGCACCGTATCAAATCTTACAGAGATTTTGAAAATAATTGAAATACTTTGTTGAAATTTATTTATCTTTAAGATAGATGAGATAGCAAGAACTAATACATGCACCGTATCAAATCTCAAAGAGATTTTGATATAGTTTTAAAATATATCGTTGAACTTTATTCATCCTTAAGATAGATGAAGCAGCAAGAACTAATGCCCGCACCGCATCAAATCTTAAAGAGATTTTGAAATAGTTTTAAAATATACCGTTGAACTTTATTCATCCTTAAGATAGATGAAGCAGCAAGAACTAATGCCCGCACCGCATCAAATCTTAAAGAGATTTTGAAATAGTTTTAAAATACATCGTTGAAATTTATTCATCTTTAAGATAGATGAAGTAGCAAGACTAATGCCCGCACCGCATCAAATCTTAAAGAGATTTTGAAATAGTTTTAGAATATATCCTTGAAATTTATTCATCTTTAAGATAGATGAAGTAGCAAGACTAATGCCCGCACCACATCAAATATTAAAGAGATTTTGAAATAGTTTTATAATATATCGTTGAAATTTATTCATCTTTAAGATAGATGAAGTAGCAAGACTAATGCCCGCGCCGCATCATATCTTAAAGAGATTTTGAAATAGTTTGAAATACATTTGTAATCTTTACACCAAGCAAACATTGAAATATAAACATGACAAGTGGTCATAAATTGATTTATTTTGAGCATTATTAAAATAGATAAGATTATAATAAAATGAACATAACAATACTAACTATAAACAAATAAGTAGGTATGACATATTAATAAAATAAATCAATAAATAAATAAAACAAACAAAATAAATTAATGGGAGGTTACCCCCATTTCATGAAACAGAGAACAAGGGAGGGACGAAATCCCTAGGTTCTCCTCTCCTCTTCCTTCGGCTCAGAAGCAACGGCAGCAGTGGAACCGAAGCACATGGATTTATTCTTCACTCAATGTGGTCATCAAGTATATCATCATCTCCTCTCCTCTATCTCGTTTCTCTTTAGCGACGGTGGTTCTCTCTCCGGTGACGGTTTCGTCGGTTCATGATTGGAAGTCGGTCGACTCGGGTTCACGGTTCAAAGGTGGGGGTTGATTGTCTTCTTCTTCTTTTCTCTTTCATCTTCTTTTCCTTCATAACCAAGGAAATTGGAATCCCTAATTCATATTCTTTCTTTCTCCGACAGCGATGAATACACCTACTCATGGCGGGGTGGAGAAACCGAAGGTAATCTTCTTTCCCCTCATCGGCTCGAAGCGTTCCCGTTGGAGCCACGACTTAAGGTGATGATTTTGGTTTGTAATATGGTGTTTTTGATGGATAAGGAAAGTGAGAGTTCTCTGGAAGCTACGTTAATGGAAATTTTTCTGGGTTTATGTTACTGTAATGTGCATTATGTAGCCAAGAAGGGATTTTTCTCCCCCTATGTATGACCCTTTTTGTGTAATGTCGGTACGTCGTTCCTGGATTGCTCTCTGATTGGATATGATGTGTGATATCAAGATAGATAGCTGTAAGTATGGTGTTGTGTATTTAGGACAGTAAATTTAAGGAGTTAGGACTATGACTCTGGTTATGTATGTGCGATAGGTATATGGAATTTTTAGCAACTGAGTTTTTGGTGTTTCGGTTTGCTTTTTGAATGATGTGTAGTGTAGGAGTGTATGAGTATATGGCTTGCTCTCTATTCTGTTCTATGTGGTATATGGGATGCTATGTGTGGTATATGTGATGCCAAGTGTGGTACCCTCTCTCTGAGTATTGTGATATATGGTTATATATGTGACTTGCTCTCTGAATGTTATCCCCTTTTGATATTCTGTTGACCCTCGTTGATATTCTGTTGACCCTCGTTGATATTTGTTGCAGTATGATGCTGTATAAGTGGTTACTCTCTCTTGTATGGCAATTGCCTATGAATGTGGTGTGTGCCCTCTGGTTTGTATGTGTGGTTTCATTGTTGTATGTATGAGTGTGTTTATATGGTTTTATGATTGTTGGCCTGTGATATGTATATCCCCCTTTGATTTCAGTTTTGTTGTGTATGGATAGGTGGCTTGACGTTGTAGATAGTGTATGTGATATGTATTGTGTTATCAAAAGGGTGCGTTGGTTGTCAAAGGTTGGAGTTGGGACTATGTAGATGGTGAATGATGAGATTGTTTATTTGAGATTGCCAATTTTCAGATTTAGGAGCCCTCCTCTTTTCATTTGCTTTATGCCTTGTATTTATAGTTGAGTATGTGAAGCCTTGAAAGTCAGTGATATGCCATGACTTTTGCTTTCCTGGTTATTCTTTCCAACTGTCCCTAATTGCTACTATTGATGCTAATCTTAAATTTTGAAGTGTAACTGCCCTTTTTTTGGAATCCCTTGTATTTCTCAGCTGGTGTATATTCCAGATTGTGTTTAATAAGGCATAACTGTCTGATTTGCATTTTTTAGAGGCTTTTGGTTTGTTTAGCCCCCTCCCTTTTAATTATTCAACCACTCATTAAAAATTGCTCCTCATTGTTGATTATTGCCTCTTCAAATTATTTATGCTTGTCAATGCTCTTTAAGCATAAGAAACTGAAAGGCTTTTGGTTAACTTCTCTGGCTGACTAATTTTATACTCTTGGCTGCTTGTAGTTCTCATACGAATCCTCAAGAAGAGTCTTGCCATATCACCATATGCAATGAAACTTAGTTCATCTAATGCTCCTCCAACAACATTCTGGAACCATATATTCCGCCACCATTGATGTCATTGATAATGTGCAAGTGTAGTATTGGAAAGAGGCAAGTGTGGTGGCTTGAAGCTCTTGAAGCATATAAGTTGTTCTACCTTTTGAATAAAACAATCATGAAAGTAGAGCCGAATAAGACTTTCTTTATCTGAATTTGTATACATTTTATTGGTACAAAGTCCAAACAGAATTCCCATATCTCAACTTAATGTTTAGTGAATTTCAGTTCATGTATTCCTATACTTTTTTCTCAATATGAGTGTATAGTAGCAATTAATATTCCATTTGAAAAAATGATGTATGATTCACTTGCTTTCTTGCACCCTCTCCTAATATATTTATGTGATCCAATGCAAGGAACAAACAAATTGCACTAACCAATAATACTTTGATCACAGGTAAAGAAGCAACATAAAACAGTTGTAGAAACCCCATTATATCCTAATTTTCTAGCAATCTCTTCTAATCGTACACACACAAAAATAAATTACATGTAACAAAATATATTGGAACAAAATTTTCATTCACATTCAGAATAACAAAGTAAAAGTACATATACATTGTGAAACATAAATTTTGTGTCGTGTTTACTATATATATAAAAAAAAACCTCAATAGATTGGTCTCCTTGTTTTAGTTTCGAAATTAGGCCGGACAAAATTGGGTGTTCACATAAGTTATAGGAAAATGTATGTGAAAAGAATAAAATATGGAAAAAATTTCAAGGGTAGAATTTGGGTCCTTACATTTCTCGTGATGCTTTGTTATCAAACTTTAACTTGTGAACTCGTACTCACTCAATGCAAGGTGTATGGTTTCTCAATACTTCCATTATCCACGATCAAATTATAGACTTTGTTCTTAATAGAACAATATGTTCGAAACATGTTCTTCTCTTGTCCTTATTCCTTGGTCGATAACAAGATCCTTTGGAGCACAAAGCTTACCCTTTCATCAGACTCCTCTTCAGCAAACTCAACTTTTTCATACTCATTGCTCTCATCTTCCTCCTCATTTTCCTCGTTCAGATGGCGGTAGTTTTTCTGGAAGGACAAACATTGGATCAATGACCTTGCCCACCGCAACGAAAACACTTATCACCAGTTGGTTTCATGTAGGGGTTAGCCGTTTTTGGATGGATGCCCTATTTTGTTGCACATCACTAGTGTTGTTGGTCCCTTTATTTCTAGAGTTGTGAACCTTGGCTACTATGTTCTTCTCCTCATTTCATGCTGACTCGAAGTTATTATGGGGAGTATACCTTCTAAAAGATGAGAAATTTCGAGCGGATTTCTCGATCAATTCAGCCTTCATAGCTAGACTGGATGCCTTAGTCATGGTTCATACAGTCTGCAAACCCATCTTCTCCTGCAAAGATCTTGTTAAGCAATTTATGTATCGAGCCACTTTCTGGTTCTCTGATTCTCCCTGTTCGTTACGCTCAGAAAAACGTAGGAACTCAATTTTATACTTTGTCATAGTTCTATTTTCCTAAACACATTCAATATACATCTTATAGAGAATTCGCTCATAATCTTCCAGTAAAAATCGCTCGAACGTCAACTATTTCATTTTTCGCCAAGTTTTGATTTATCGTTTCCTTTGCCTCTGCCTCTGAATAACAAGCTTATCCCACCACACAACAACAATATTCTTCAACTTGATCGGTACCATCTTAAATTGTCTGCTCTCAGGGACGCCTATGACATCAAAGAATATGTCAACATCAATATTTTAATCCAGAGATTCCTCAACTCCCATTGTTCCGTAGAACAATGGAATATCATAATTCACCCGGTAGTCGTGATTATATTGTCGTCTTCCTTGGTCAACCATCTCTTCGTCATTGGTTTCGTCTTCAGAAATCGAATTTCCCAAATAACAACACAATTATTGTTTCCACCGCACGAAACCCTGTGTGGTTCTCATCCCCTGTCTCTTCGTTGGTCCTCGTTGTTGGCGTTGTTCATCACCTGGTTTGTTAAAGTCGCCAATTGTTCAGTCAAAGCAGTTAGGTTCGTGGTAAAAGTCATTGTAATACCTTGAAGGTCTGCTCTGGTCACCAGTTGATTTCCCATGGATATTCAAGTTACGAAAAGAGATAGGAGAAAATCTGCACTGATGCCACTTGATGCAGTTGGAAGCACAAAGGGTTGGAAAACGCCAAACCTAGAACAAAAATATAAGTTTACAAGAGATAAACTTGGCAGACAAAGTTTTGCCATCTACTAGAAAGAGAAAACTCTCAAAATTTATTAATGAAGGTAAGATAATAATTACGGCTACATCCCAAAATTGATTAAATACTAAAGAAAAGATTATTAAAAGATACTGAAAATATACTAAAAAGATAATGAAAAGATAATTGCTAAAAAGATATTAAAATGTCGTTCATTTCCCACGAGTCACTTTGTCTTTGATACGTGCAGCCAACCTTCCTACATCACTTTCTAATAATATTATGTATTTAGTTTTATTATATAAATTGTAAGATTACAAATTGTGGGAATATAGTACGTTATGATTATAATATATATTAGTATCTTATATGAAAAATGAATATAAGCTAACTTGTTTCATTTAGATAGGGTGAAAAAATTATTTTTTATAAAGTAAATTAAATTAAATGATATGTTATTTATTTATCTTTTGATTATTTTGGTTGTTTTTACATATTTTTTAAGTACATTTTTATATTTATCATCTATATATTTATTACTATGATTTTCTAATTTTTATTACTTTATAACGGTTTAAAAATAAAATATAATATAAAAATCAATATCAATATTTAAAAACAACATAAATGAGAATGAAGATAACCTTTAAATTAGGGTAAAATGAGAATTGATATTTTTCAGTAGAAAAATAAGCAAATTTTGAAATAAACAACTGATGGTAGAAGAACTTTAAAAAATATTCAACAAAATAAGTTGAGTTTATAATATAAATAGGTTAACAAGCAAATTTTCACTGGAATTTTAGGCTTATTTTTAAAAAATAAGTAAAAATTGAGGATTATGTTGGTAATATTGTTTTAAAAATGTGAGCTCTAGTTTACTTAAAGAATAGTATTTAATAAAATTATATATTCTATTTTCGTAAGATAATCAAGTTTGTGATCAACGTTTGACTATTTGCATATGTTCTATGATTATCGTTATGGGCTCATTTATGTTGTTAGATGTTGTTTTAATATAGTGAACACTAATTTACTTAGACAATAGTGTATGAATAAAAAATATAGATGTTGTTTCATTGGATTCCCAAGAATGAATGGTCATGATGTGGAGTAAGTGTTTTTCCACTTACTTTTGGAGTAAGTGGATCCCTCCCCAAAAAGATGAGGGATCCACTTACTCCAAAAAACACTTACTCTTCATCTTAGCCATCCAATCTTGAAAAAATCAATGGTTTAGATGTACTCACCAATTCAAACCATTGGATTCCCAAGAATGAATGGTCATGATGTGGAGTAAGTGTTTTTCCACTTACTCTTGGAGTAAGTGGATCCCTCCCCAAAAATATATAAGAATGTATGAATTTTGTATTCCACGTTTGTAAATGAGTGTGATATACTTTTGAGGTGGTTGTTGTTGCTTTTATTTTGTTGGTATCGCCAATGATACTTTTGGAACAAAATTGTTTTGGAGTGTCTCATTATCTCTCTCAACAAATGTTGTTTACAGAAATCGAAGATTTAATTTTTATTTGTTTATTTAGGGATCTATTGAGACCTTATACTATTGACAAATATTGAATAATTAAAAGAATGGAAGAGTCAAAATAATGTTGTAATTCTTATTTGCCATTATTATTATTATTATAGACTAAATAAAGCCAATTAGACCGTTGATTTTTCGTTTGCTTGTGCACTAATGTTTCAACCTTCCAAACAATTATGGTTGTCACATTATAAAAAAAGAGGAAAAGTGGTGATTAATTTATAATTATGTCCTAAAATTTTGAATAGGGAAATATTAAAATTATTTTGATTTGATGATTTCCTATATATAGTTAAGTTGAGATAAGAACATAGTTTCATTTTTTAATGGGATAAAATCTTCAAATTCTTATTTATCCTTAAAATTCATTATATTGATTGTGGAAAGTTTACTATTATATATCATTATCTTTATCATCAAACAGAAATGATTATCTTATTTATCGAGTTTATGGGATTAAGTGACTTTAGATGTTGTCATGGCAATTTTTAATGAAATAATTATTCCACACATTCATAACAATTAACACAAGCAATGTGTACATATTAATTCCCTTTGTGGAAAGTATAATATGTAGTGTGAACTTAAAAAACAAAAGAAACTTAAGAGTCAAGTATGAGTAAGAATTAATGGGATAATCTATAATGACACATTTATTTTTTTAAATATAAAAAATAAAAGAAAATCTAATTGTAATGACACATTTATTTTTTTAAATATAATGAAATAATAATTTTGTTATTAAAAATAAAAATAATTTGAAATACTTGTCTCTGGATAATCCATATTCAAATAGTATTAATCATATAGAAGTTGAAACTTCACAACATTATGTTCAATGTTGTAAGCAGAGGCTGCTACGTCATTTATTCTTCAAGCATAACCACAAAGTATCACGTCTATTCATTTTTATATTATATAGATTTCTATATATTATCTTAAATAGAACTATTATAATTAATAATTTTTGAAATTATATTTTAAATATAAAAGTTATAATATTAATAATAAAACTATTTTAAACAAATAATATAAAAATGATGTAAGATAAAATATAAATTATTAGTGGGACTAAAATATGGATTTATAAAATTAGAATAAAGTATCTCCTTATACTAGGAGTCAGTCAGTAAAAAAATGACATGTGTATTGTTTTGTTTAGTTTAGAAAATATTTTTGTAGGAAATGATTAAATGATATACATATCACGATTTTAATGATCGGAAAAGATTAACTTATGTGAGTGGCAATGATTGAGTTCCGGTGCTAAATTTTGGCTTCCTTGGATTTGTCACCAAGTTTTCATTTATTGGATAATTTTTTGTGTGCATATGATTATTAGGTGGGTTTTTATTTTGAATATAAAATATTAACGAATTGCTATTAACTATTATATTTGGACCATAACTATGATCCATCGTGC